TATGTTTGACTTTGAGTTGACTTATTTTTGTTAATAAATTCTTGTATTTTAAGAAATTGTGTGAATTCATTCCATGTGTGTGCAGAGTTTTGCTGTTCAATAATATCAGAGCTTGGCTCATCCCTTTTGACTTTGTCCTAATGCCACCGCCTTATTGGGCTGGTATTCACAGGACAACCCTTAACAGACCGAAATATGATTTGATACAATATTAAAATATTGATATTAAATATTAAATAATATATTCATAATTACAACACATACATTTCACATTTGTAAACGTGCTGCCATTAGCATCGGCACTGTGTCTGCAAATCATGGAAAACCTGTCATAAAAGAGGTAAAACTGATCTGATTAGGACTTCTAGATTGAGAACCCAATGTGTGGTCAGGACAACTCAGAGATGAAAGAGGTTGTTCTCCAGTATTTGCTGATAAATCAGTTGCTGGGTTTCCTGTACTTTCTCCATCTTTGCTGCTGGAATAATAGATCCATTTTCAAAGGAGCCCAGGGACTTCAACTGTTCATCACAAACTGATGGGCTTTGCTTTCGTGTGTGAATGAGTTTGTTCAGCTATAGGGAGAATTCATTTTCTGTTCATTTTTTTGGGCCAATGTGAAGCAGCAAGGCTTGATCAAAAAGGTAGGGAATGACAAATGGCAGTGGCAACAAGGTAAGCTAAATGCAAAAATCCTTATAACAAATAAATAGTGTTTGACTAATCCTTACTGCCTGATGTCAAACAGCAGCATAAGTGTAGAGGTCAATGACACAGCCCTCATAAATGTCAGTTGTTATAACACAACCAGTGCTACATTCATGTGACAACCTAGTTCCTGTCTCAGTGGTCAGGCTGCTTTAGAGCTTAGTTTTAGTCAGTGGTTCATGGTGAAGGCAGCTAATTCTTATTTCTTATTCTTCGTATTCTTATTATTATTATTCTTACTCCTACTCTTATTACATTATTATTGGTATTAAATTTTAACTGTGTGGATCTGTATGCTTAGATTTTGCCTGTCACTTTGCTGCTTGTACATCTGAATTTTCCCATTAAGGGATAATGAAACATATTTCTTTTCTGTTTTAAACCAGAAGCTAATATTGCTGGTACTTCTTCTGTGCACGGCATCTATTCGGATGGTATACAGTCAGTCTAGGTTTTATTTGCTAAGCAGCCAAGTTTGTTAAAAAAGTTCTTAAATTGATGTGTTGTATGATAAAGGCATATATTGTTTCCAAGGCTTAAATCTAGTTTGACTTGAGAAGAATACAAGTTCAGTGTTGCCTGTGCTTTGTGGAGCTTGACTGGCTTTATGTATTTTCCCTGTGTGCGTGGGTATAAGTTTGTCCCTTGATTGGAGGACAGCCCATCTTCCAGTTACTTCTCACAGACATTCAGAGAGAGTGAGAGAGCCTTGTTCCACCCCTCCTCAGGGATTTGTCTCTCCCCAGGAGTGCTATGAGTACAGACCTGCTGCCTGCACTACTGGGTGAGAGAGAGACAGAAGAAAAGAGTGAATGAACAGAGCAGCCGAGTGAGGAGTAGGAGTACCCTTGTCAGAGGGTTCTAGTTTCTACTAGACTTGAGCATGCCTTAGTAGGAGGTTCTGGCCGCCGGCACACCTACCTGCGTGCTGATCTGCTTCCAAAAGGAGCCTGTGTTGTTGAAGGAGTTGCTTCTGTATGCCGCAGCTTTAGGCCCAAGTCTGTCCCTTCTGCAGCCTTAGACATGGGGCCAGTGTGCTGCAAGCCGGACAGACTGAAGAAACAACATCTCCAAGGTAACGAGAAACAGATGCAGGAGAGTTTTTACAAGTGTGGCAGACAGTGAAGAGGAGAACTGAGCAGCTTTGAGTCTGCTGGAGGCTAGAATTTATAGCAGCCTCAAAACAAACTTTTGTTGTATTGAGTTAGGCACTGATTCAGGTCTAGTTCTACTCCTGGCCTTTACACATGTTCTGAAGAAAACTTAAACATATTCTACAGCAAGATCTGCAAAATCTTTGAATGTACACATGTGAATTGTGGTACTGAACATGGCAATAGCTTTATCTCAGACACCTTTTACCTTTGTGGTTTATTCATATGTGGACAAAACCAAGATGTGAGCTTTTGTAAAACAAAATTTAAAAAAAAGTAACTTAGCACATGCAGTTCACACATTTACCATGTTCTGAGCTGCACACTGGTGAGACCCTCAGGAGAGGGTTCAAGTCAGTTCCTGCACAGGACAGACACCCCAACCATAACTTCTGTTTTGTGACTTGCCTCACTAAAAGTTCAAACAATGCAGGTACCACTGAAAGGAGAAATGTTTTAACACTACGTATGATGCATATTTAAGGGGTTTTGAAAGATTCCAGTCACTTTTCATGAAAGAAGCAGCAGCTGATGTGTCCAGGTCTGGTGGACCAAGCTGGTGATGGAAATGGGTGTTGTCTGAACCCAGCTACAGCTGTGTTACACCATCTGGGAAAACAGATACTGTATGTCCGACCTCTGTTTAAATGTTTGAATTAACTGAGCATGTTAAAGGTTCTGGCTGGCATCTCTGGGTCTTCTGATCTGTCTGATAGGACATTCTCCATCAAGACAAAAAAGTCACTCTCTATAATCTGTGGTGTTCCATAAGGTTAAGTTCTGGGTCCATTAATACTTCACTTTACATCCTTCCATTTGCTGATATCCTTTTTTTGACATTTCCCACCATGTCTACACTTTAGACTTTCAATTATATTTTTATTTCAGGCCCCACCATCTTGTTAGTCACCAATGCGTGTAATGCAATGGACCCCTTGTCCATTGCATTACAAGCATTGGTGGCAGGCCCTGCTGCAATGTTCTCTTTTTAAATGGCAACAAGACATAGATTCAGAGGCAACCAGGCAAGTGCAAAAAATTTCTCAACTGCTAAGTGAAGTGCACAAATTCTTAGAAGTTCTATTTATTGCCACTTTAGGCTTTGACAGAGATACATTTAAAAAAATGAGTTCAGAAATTGAAACTCATATATTATATAGGTTTATTACACACCATCTGAAATATTTTAAGCCTTTATTTCTTGGCATTTTGATCAATATGGCTTAGAGGTAATGAAAACTAAAGATTCTGTGTCTCAGAAAATTGAAATATTGTGGAAATAGTTAAATTTGGGAAATTCATTGAACAATGCAGATGACCAACAATGCAGATGACCTGAAGGCTGCCATCAAAGCAACCTGGGCTGCAGTGCAACAGGCTGATTTAAGTCATACCAACCACTCAAAGCACTTTATACTAGAGCTACATTTATCCAGTCACACTCACATTCACACACGATGCACATATCAGTAGGCAATTTGAGGTTAAGGACCTTATTCAGTGGCATATCAATGTGTGACAGCAGAAGTTGGAATTGAAACCACAACTTTTGGATTGCAAGACAACTACTCTTCCCATTGAGCCACAGTCGCCTATATAATCTGACTTTCACTATCTGAAGTAAGTGACAAAAAAATTTAACTTTTTCATAATATTAAAAATTTTGAGAAGGACCTGTATTTTTGACTTGATCATTTGTTAATTATTAGAGGAAATTATTCCATTCACAATACATTATTAATGTTTAGTCCATTGGCATTTTAGGGATTGTTCATGCTGAACTGCAGTGAACATCTTTTGTCGCTGAACCCTGCAGAGAGATAAATCTGTCCTGCGTTTGGCCAGAACTTGACCTCCAGCACAGAACTGGGTGCATTAGTGGAGAAATTCACAGAGATACAGTTTAGAAAGCTGGGATTTCAAATAAAAAAAAAACTGTCTGTGTAGAACCTGCATTTTAGTTATCCTGGAAGAGAGAGTTATTTAGAAATAGCTGTTTTCTGTCATCCGGTCTTTAGGGTAAACATGTGGGACAGTTATGTGTTGGGTATTGCGAAAAGTCACAGGAATCTGGGGCTTTAGTCCAAATTTTATAAATTACATTTATTTGATGTGAATTGTTAGGATTATCAGTAACAAAAAGCAACAAAAGCTATTCAAATTCACCTGGCTCTATCTGAAAAAGTAACTGTCCACCTTGTTAAATCATGAATTTACTATGCTTAACCTCTTTTTTTGTTTACATTGTTGGGAGTTATGATTATGGATTGATTAATCTTGATCAATAATTATAATTAAAAATCATAATTTTGACAATTACAACCGTTAAATACTCCGTAATAATTGATAACTCTTACCGGAGATGTCACTG